CGACAACGGATAGGTTTGCGACCTTTTGGTAGATCAACTACTTCAAAGACATTTCGTTTCTTCAAACCATCGATCTCATCTTTGCATGCTTGATCCCATTTCTTTCTTTCAGCAGATGGTAAATGACGATATGATGTTGGAGAAATCCAATTATCAGGATTATTCCTAGCGGCTTCGTGTTTAGCCGGTATCATTTCACTGTCAAGATCTGTGATAAAAGATGATTCTTCTAGAGAATCGGAGATTGCTTGCGAAAGAAGGTATTTTTGTAATTCAACTCCCCCTTCCTGAGCTAGTTTAGTCAGAAGTGCTTCCTCTTCTATGTCAGAATCCGGAGTAGCGCCTGGAGGTGGCGGTGTGACCATACGGTCATCAGGATTCAATGGACGTGGTGGTGGAACCGGTGGCGGAACTTGATCAGGAACTATATTGCGAGCAGGCACAAGTCCACGTCTAGCGTGTCCAAAGCGCTCAGCACGTTCTTCACGATCAGCTTGTCGGCTCCAAGTGCCAGGCGTGGGTATCATGCCAGGGCGCAAGGGTGCACGGCGTTCTCTAGTGGGGTTCACACGTTTCCATGCTTCAACGTCTTCGGGACGGTAGCTGAATGGATTAGGATCGGGAGCAGGTGGTGAAGGGTCTCTTGCTTGAGGTGGAGGGGTGGGTGATCGAGATGGTACCGGAGGATTGGGATTTGGAGCATCATCATCACCAGGCAGATCTGGATCTGGGCCAGCTGGTGGACTGTGCGGTCCATTATCCGGTTCAGTAAACGGTTGTGGTTGATCTTCCAGGAATTCCGGATCAAATGGAATGTCTGCACCATTACCATTTGAAGGTTGCGAAGGTTTCACAGGCGTGGGGCAACAGGTATAGCGGGTTTTACTCCAGAATCAGATTCGGATTTGCACCGTGGAAACCATTTCTCATAGAAAGTTGCTTGTGCAGCATGCACTATGGAATTATCGCTACGCATGAACAGATATCCTTTGCTTCCTTGGTCATATCCAATGAAAGTCATCGCTTCAGAGTGTGGGGATTGTTTATTTTTTCGCTTGTCAATAGGAATAAAGACATAAGCGCCACAGCCAAAGGTTCTGAAGTACGAGACATCAGGTTTCTTTTTGAGAAAACCTTCAATTGGTGTCTTCCAGTTCAATCGACGGATCGGTGTGCGGTTATACACATGTACTCCTGTGGAATATGAAAATTGCCACCAGGACTCCGGGCAGCATGCATGGTGTCGCATGGCTTCGGATTTTTCCATGAGTGTACGGTTGATGCGTTCCGCTCTACCATTCTGTTGATGAACATAAGGTTCGGACATTTGAATATCAATACCCTCAGACTTGAGAAAGGAAGTAAATTCCTTTGAGATAAGTTCTCCCCCTCGATCAATGCGGAAACGCACAAGTTTGCGTCCAGTTTGTTTTTCAGCCCAAGATTTGAAATCCTTGAAGGCTTGAAACGCTTCTGATTTTTGTCGCAGCATGATCGAAGTAGCATGAGAAGAGCAGTCATCCAGCAGAGTGATCACAAATTTAAATTTATGATAAGAGACGGTTGGAATTTCAACCAAATCTGCGTGAATTAAATCCATAGGGTTGGATGCTCGTTTCTCGGACTTAGGATATGCTTTGGAGGCAGCCTTTCCAAGCGCGCAACCTTTGCATGGAGATTCTTTATCTGGTATCGACAACTTAGGTAGTCCATTGACATTTCCAGGAGCATTGCGTAATACGACATCACCGGGATGTGCAAAACGGTTATGCCAGGTGTTAAAATCATTAGGAGATGATATCATGCCTATTTCGGATTTCACTACATCGGCCTTTAGCCAGTGAATATTATCCCTATCGTTATTGGGATATAAGGTCATGATTGTTGAGTCATCATCCGTCTTACGAATAACTGATTTTTCAACGTTAATAGTTGTGTAACAACCTTGTCGATTTAATAAACCAACAGATAGAAGTCGGTGTGTGCAATGCGGTTGGTAAAACACTGGGTGTAACTTAGTCGTGAGGATTTTTCCTTCGCCGTTGTCATGCCTTATGTAGACTGTTCCGGCACCTTCAATAAAGGTTGACGTACGTTCGTCAGCAGTCTGGACAGGTATCGGATGTGTGAATTTTTTATAAGACACAAAGTCTTGCCGATAAGGAGTAAAATATCCAGATGCACCGGAATCAAGTAGCCATGTGTTAAATATCTGACTAAGGTTCTTATTCGCACCATGCACATCATTAGAAACCATTTTATTTAATTTACCCTCACTAGGAGGTACAGAGTTCATGAAGCGTGGAGAATGTGATACATAAGGTCCATTTGGACCGTTCGATATTCCAGCCATATTATTGAACATCTGTTGTAATGAGTGCAATTGGTCAGTGAATTTTTCCTTAAAACTATTAAGGGAAGCTTGCCAGAAAATAAGGCGCTCGTCTCCAGAGCCATACATTTCCTCGTCAATGTCCATTTCGAGTTTAGTCTGAGGCCAAAGGTGATCAGAGAGATCGACCTCTACTTCCTCGATCTTCATCCTGTCAAGGACGGAGTCGTGGGAGGCTTCACGGAGGAAGCTGTCGTTAATGCGCGAGGCAAGGCAGGTGGCGAAATTAGAGACATTGGAAGTCTCCACTTCAGCCGATTCATGAGCCTTTTCTTTGCCTTTTCCTCCTTTCTTTCCGCGGCGTGTCTTTTTGTCTTTGTCGGAAGAAGAGGACGAGTCGTTGGAAGGTTTGCTTGCCGGTAAGGCGCTCCCTTCTTGGTGTCCTTCTTCTTCTTCTGATCATTCCAAGAAGACTTGGAATCAGATTGACGTTTGACGCCGGAGATGCGGCCGTGAGAGAGGTAGCGTTGGATTGGCGGCGGCGGTACTCGTCCTGAATGATCGGCATGATGTTGGACGGAGTAAGGAGAGTAGCATCTCGAGAAAGGATTGTCATTGCAAGACTATCCCATTGAGTAGGTAAGGCGGCCAAGAGAATCATAGCTTTTACCGGTTCGGGAAGAATGAGACCAGAGCCATCAAGGCGGGAGAAGGTGGAGTTTAAAGATGCTAGGGCAAGAGTAGGGTCGTTTCTTCCGTCGATTTGGAAGTTAATGGCCTCTTTGAAGATGCCAAAAGTGCCGGCAGAGCCGGGTTTGCCATAGATCTTTTTGATTTCGTCCCAAGTCTCACCAGAGTCAGTCTTTAGGACAGTAGCCCTGATGTCATCAGGAAGTCGGAGGGCAATTAAGCCCATGGCTTGGTCGTCAATGCTGTCCCAGTCATCAATCTCTTTCTGCCGTTTGGCAGTGGTGGTCTCAATATCTTCATTGGCCTTGTAAGTGCCAGCAGCGACTTCAGAGGCGCTTGCTTTGCGGAATGTTGGTTTGGGGCGAAGGATCCGTCCACATACAACAGACCAACAACGAGAAGCTCTAAGGAGCGCTGTCATTGAACTGGACCAGGAGGGGTAGTTAGCCCCATTGAGGAGAGGAACACTAGAGAGGTTTGAGAGAGACATGTTTTGATAAGGTTCTAGAAAAAGTAGAGCAACAGTCAGTGACGTGCTTCCACAAGTTATGAACTCAGATCACAACAACAGAGTCAGAAACCCGTGACAAGTGTTTTCAGTGTTGATCGCATATAATTATCCATCCATTTTCCATCCACTGATCCGATCATTCCAATTCGGACTCAGTCACTTAAGTTGATCGGAACACAAATAGGGTAACTGAATGCCAAGAATATGCGTTCAGTCAACGTTCAGATGTGCTTTTGCAGCACAATCGAACAGTATCCCTTCAGCATGTGAAGAACTTAAGGCAAGCAGCAGGTAGGTAATGTGTATGTACAATTATTCTACGAAGGCCAAGAACCCAATGATCGTTCGCAGTTTGCCAGCGGATGCACATGAACGCTTTTATGGCTATTATAGCGGTGACCCCAAGTCTACCTGGCAGGGAATAAAACCCTAAAGGGAATGCCATCACAGCAAAGCCCTTAAACAGTTCGTTCGATCATCGGGTGCCTATGTAAATACATGTGTGTGTCAGTGTGCAAAGTCATGTATATTTTTGAACAATGCAGGAATGGAGAGAAATGCGATCCATGAATGTTACCATGTACCATGACCAGCTATGCACAACACGCGAACTTCGTACACTCCAGGAATGAGCGTTGGACGTTCATTGAACACTGTCTAACCAAGTGCAGTAAGCACAATGGAGGGCACAACATGTGTTGAAGCGATCCGGGGCCCATAACCTGTAAAAACAGCGGTCAGTCAACACAAGGTTGACAGCATACTCACCTGGAAGTGTAAGGGTGTTTACAGGAGTTTGTAAGAGTGCTTGTTGAGAGCAGAACAAGTGTCCAGACGAATAGTAGGATTCTTGGTTATTGTTACAGGAAAATATCTACAGTATTTATACTACAGAATATAATAAACCCTATAACAATGTATGAGTCTACTTGAGTCGTACTGCTAAACATAGTGCATATACATGTGCATAATGTACCCTAGAAGATGGAGTCCGTATGGTAATTCTATAGGTATTGTTCATAGGTACTGCAAGACAGCGTACAAGCTATGTATCATAAGACTAATAGCGAATGGCATAATTGACTACATCTATACGATCCTGCGTAGAGGCTGCGTCTAGTGTTTGAGGGTGAGTTTCAACATAGCATATATCGACAGTTCATCGATCGTATAGCAAGTGCGTCTAGTCGACTCACATTACTGATTAGATACGACTCATAAGCGGTAATCTAGTTTCAACACACACACCACGCACCGGCTGCACGGCAAAATGTATGTGCCGTGCTAGTGAATTCACAATCATAAATTCTGCAGCATATATAGTACAAAACCGAGAAATTTTCAGCCAACTTCTATACCGGAGCTCAGCTATGAATGGAAATTATGGAATGGGATCCCCAGAGAACTCACCCGGTGAGCATTAGGCAGTCAAGGTGTCAAAATTGATCTTATCTCCAATTTTATCAGTTCTTCTTAGCTCAATTGGTAGAGCACATCACTCAAATACCACAAGATTGGAAAATTTCAGGCTATCTTATGATGACTGGTCAGTGGGTCGAACCAACTAGAAGGCATTCCCAATGCTGGTCAAGGCTTACTTTTTGTCTGACCCAGTGACTCTTGCCATTTCCGAAAACTTCAATAAAAGCTTTATCTTGGTGTTGCTGAATCTCTCTATCTTAGAGATGTCCACGAGTCCAAGTCTTCACAAGTACTCGCAGGTAAGATCCGTGGGAAAACCCGCAAGTATGTGACTCGCGGATCCCAGGGTCCGTTTCCCACGGTCAGCGCGGGTCACAAGTCAGACATTTGCAATTTTCGGTTGACTTGCAAGTACTTGTGTGACTTGTGCAAGCAATATGAACTCATATATTTGTTGTTGGTGATCAAAACTTACAGTAATTAATAGTATCATATTTATTATAGTACTTATCAAGTACTGCCACACATGTTTGAGGTTGTAGACAGCTCACAGCGACTGAGCGCTTATTTTAGCGCCCAATCGCCGTAGGCTGTCTACACTCCAAAGCCTAACTGTCAGTACATTTTTACTTCATACCATAGTATGAAATTAGTGTAACAAGTAAAGTACAGGTTTTTAATAGCATTATACACTGTTCAATCACTGTATGCAAGTAAATAATGGTAAATACTTGTGAATATAGCTGTAACTACTTGATTAGTGTGCGGATCCACAAGTACTTGCGAGACCCGCAAGTACTTGCAGATAATACTTGCGAGTCAGTGACCCGTTTCCCACGAGTCAGCCGCGGGTCACGAGTCAGGCCTTTTAGGCCACAAGTACTTGCGCTCCGGATCCAAGTATACTTGGATCCGGACTCGTGGACATCTCTACTCTATCTTTGAAGATGTATGATGTGCAGCCAGCGGTCCATTACATATGCAATTGCCTAGGTAACTATTTCAATTATTAACTTCATGTCAACTCTAGTGGCTGCTCTGTATGTCTTTAACCCAATCAATGACACCAGATTACTGATTAAGATTATCCATATCTAGCTTATCTACAGCTTTTCAATGGATGGAACCTAGCCCTAAGCCTGAAACTAGTAGATGGACCCATGGCTCCGCCGATAGGTGTGGACATAGAGCTTTAGAAGCTCAATGTCCTAGCACATGCTAGCAATTAATTAATTATCTCTTGGTGAGTTACTCTCGTGCCCAAATTACAGATCCCTTGACAGCTCCATGATGTCATTCATGCTTCCTTGATTAGTGTTTGTTTTCCTGTCTGTCCGCAGTTGCTAACTTGCTCTTTTCTTCAGGGGTATTAGTTAATATATATGCTATCCACTGGTCAGCGGTAAATGCTGCCAGTCCTTCTTAGCTCAATTGGAGAGCGTGTCACTAGTATGGTGCTTCCAAAATTCTGTCTTACTATGATGACAAGGTCAGTTGTTCAAATTAACTAGAAGGAAGTGTACTGTGTACCAATTTTTATTTGGCCTCTTTCAGTGGGTAAGTGACTTGAAGAGACTATTGAACCTTGCTTACAGGCCATATAAAGGTCTATGCAATTGCCAGGTTATTTTAACTATCTTAGAGTTCACAGCAAGCACTGAATGTTGGTTCTAGCTTTGAGGGTCTTGGTAAGGCTTGGTAAGTCTCGGTTGAATGGTATACAGATGCTGGCCACATCAGGAAACACTGAACGTGCTACAGGTATTCACACTTGAGATAGGAAGTCATGGTAGTTGATGTAGGTCCTGGGCAAGCCTCCGTAGTGCTCTGTAGTCAACATAACCAGGTCACAGTTCTACATAGATCTATATAGTCATTTTAGTACACACCAGTGTATCCATATATCAATGTACTTATTGCTAGGAAATCCATACGGTATGGAGTCCAAATTGAACTTCAAGATTTTAGCGGATGTGAAACGTAACATTACTCCACTTGCCAGTCGGAGACACCAAACAGACTACATTTGATACCATAGCTGTATCTAGGGGTGACAGTACATCAAAGTAAACACCGAGAAAACAAGACTACTGGGTTTCACGGTACTCTTTATTCATATGGGCATTGAGAGAATCCAACACGCCATCTGCTGCAAAACTTCCATAGTACAGCCTGAGTGGCTGTCCTGAATTTTTTTTTATTTAGCCTATTTTGGCTAATTGACTTCAAGAGACTGTTGAATCCCTCTTTGCTTACAATGTAGTATCATGTCAACAGTACACAATTTCCAGGCGATTTCAAAGTTTCAGCTATCCTAGAGTTTGGTTCTAGCTTTGAGAGTCTTGAGTATTGAAGTTTAGTATGCTATCCAGCTGGTAAATGGTATCAGTCCTTCTTAGCTCAATTGGTAGAGCGTGTCACTACGGTGCTGTGGATGAAACAAAATCATGAATCTATGATGACAAGGTTAGTCGTTTAAATTGACTAGAAGGAAGTATTTGTTGATCAAAATATTTTTATTCAGCCGTTTTTGGGTAAGTGACTTGAGATTGTTGAATCCCTTTTTGCTTGCCAAAGATGTGGTCTAACTATATAGAGGTCTATGAATTTGGCTATTTCAACTATCCTTAGCCTAGAGTTCACTGTGAGAGTTTTATAAGTTGAATGCCATGCAGATGCTAGATGTTGTAAATCCTTCTTAGCTCAGCTGGTAGAGCGCGTCACTAGTATATTTTCCAGAGTTGTTCGATCATAATGACAAGGTCAGTCATTCACAAGGGGTATTCAAAAATTTAAGCGCTGACATGACCTTGGGGGGGGGGGGTCTAAAGTTGGCTTATGGCCAAAAGTTCCAACCTTGCATAACTGTGTTCTAATGGTGATTAAATGATGCACGAAGGCTTTTTGTAGCCTTTTAACACATATTTGGGTGTAACCAGTCTAAAATGTAGCAAGAAAAGTCCAAAAATCAAGTTTTCTTCTTAATTGGGCTCGGAACATGGTACTAATGACTCTGAACTTGCTGCCAAAAAAGTTGACTGCACAACTGATAGCTATAATACCACTCAAATCTTCATGTCACAGATAGGTAACTGTCAAAACATGCCTACACTGCGGGCAATATGGCATGCCAGGTAGTGCCGGCGCTGACAAATACTACATGCCGGTGATGCGGACTACTAAACATGCCTACACTGCCGGCAATATGGCATGCCAGGTAGTGCCGGCGCTGACAAATACTACATGCCGGTGATGCCGACTACTAGGGGTGGGAAAATTTTTCTATATAAGGAGCGAGGGGAGGGGGGGGGGGCCTAAAAATTCCTTATGGCCGAAAAACAAGGTCATGTCTGGCCTTAAGATTTTGAATACCCCTTGGTCATTCAAGTCGGCCAGAAGGAACTGGGCAATGACTACCCCAACTTTGTATAAGACTTTTTTTTGTCTCAGTAGTATTGATAACTAGCTTGAAGATGGGTACTTAGAAGGCATGCTAAACTCAAGGGTAAACTTGTAAGTAGAGCTGAGCATAAGTATTCACTTAGGGTCTGTTCAGAAACGGCATCTGGTCCAGCCTGGTGGCAAGCTCAGGAAATACAGGATCTGTTACTCAGTTTCTCATAGCACTGGTATCAAACTGGTATAGCTCCCCATCTGCAAACCTCTTACAAGGGTTGGCTACAGTGAGGCTGAGCTGCAGGGGCTTTTAGTTCTAGCATCAGTGTGGGTAGGATTAACTCAAAGATTAACTACTATATGCTAGTAAATGCTGTCAGACTTCAGTCCTTCTTAGCTCAATTGGTAGAGCGTGTCACTACGCTTAGTTCTGGTTCCTGAAAATAGAAATGCTGTCTTAGTATGACAAGGTTAGCCGTTCAAATCGGCTAGAAGGAGTTATGTTGCATAAAAATTTTTTTTAATTTTTATTTGGCCTCTTTCAGTGGGTACTAAGTGATTTGAAGAGATTATTGAATCCCTCTTTGCTTACAGGCCATATAAAGACCTATGCAATTGACAGGTTATTTATCTTAGACACAGCAAGCTCTGAATGTTGGTTCTAGCTTTGAGGGTCTTGGTAAGGCTTGGTAAGTCTCGGTTGAATGGTATACAGATGCTAGCCATTGTAAATCCTTCTTAGCTCAGCTGGTAGAGCGCGTCACTAGTATGCTTCATCACGGATGCTTATACTAATGAATAATGACGAGGTCAGTTGTTCAAGTCGGCTAGAAGGAAATGGTGGTTAACAACGTCAATGACATATTGTAGAATAGAAGACTCTTTTTGTACCAAAAGCGTCACAGTTGATAATTAGGCTGCAGAGCCGAAAGGCATTATAAGTATTCCTGGTAAACTTGTAAGTAGAACAGGATATATGAGTCGCTTAGGGTTTGTTCAGCATTGGCACTGATTTGGCAGAGGCTGATCCAGGTTTGTGAGCTTAGGAACAAGTTCAAGAAATACGAGATCTGTTACTCAATTTCTCGTAGTTAGCTCCCCACTGCCCAGTAATTTGTAAATTCCACAAGCCTCTGACAAGGCTTGGCTACAGTGCATACCACTTGCTGTATTTTAATTTCATGCCAACAAATCCGGACTCCGGGGGCCCTTAGTTCTAGCTAAGGCTTTGGGAGTTTTAGTTAATATGCTATCCAGCTGGTAAATGCTATCAGTCCTTCTTAGCTCAATTGGTAGAGCCTGTCATTATAGTTCAAAAGTAGAAATCCTGTCTTATGATGACAAGGTTAGCCGTTCGAATCGGCTAGAAGGAAATATAAACTGAATATCATTATGGTTGTTTGAATTTATTTTTTATTTGGCCTCTTTGGGTATGACTGGAGATTGTTGAATCCCTCAGCCTTACTTACAGCCTGAGAGGTAACTATATAGAAGTCTATGAAATTGCCAGGCTTTTTCAACTATCCTAAGTTAGCTAGGAGTTCATAATAACTCTGTGAGAGTTTTATAAGTTGAATGCCATTGCATATGCTGGCTGTTGTAAATCCTTCTTAGCTCAGCTGGTAGAGCGCGTCACTAGTATTCCTTGGAGAGTTAGGAAATACAAGGTCTGTTACTCAGTTTCTCGTAGTACTGGTATAGCTCCCCAGTAAATTCCGCAAGCCTCCCGGGCCATTGAAGAGGTTGTGAAGAGGGGTTGGCGTAGAACCACAGTACCGCTCGCTGTATTTTACTTTCACGCCAACGAGTCTAGCGGGTGGCGACTCTTAGTTCTAGTTTTGGTTAGTTAATATGTGATTCAGTTGGTAAATTCTGTCAGTCCTTCTTAGCTCAATTGGTAGAGCGTGTCAATATAGTTTCGCCACAAGGAAAGATAATCCAGTCCTATGATGACAAGGTCAGTTGTTCGAATCAACTAGAAGGAATTTTCTTGGGTCAAGCAATGTGTGATGTCTCTTTTTGTCTAACACAAGGCCTTTTTTTTGTTAAGCAAAGATTTGTATTGCTAGATCTCTCTTTCTTCGATGATGTATTCCTGACACAAGTCGGGATAATTGCGAAGCTATTGTGGCTACTAGTACTTACTATCATGTTCATTCACAGAAACTCTAATTGTTGGTTCCAGTTTTGTAAATGTCAGCTTGGCTCAACCGCTATTCACTGTCCATCCTTCTTAGCTCAGTTGGTAGAGCGCGTCACTAGTATGTGTATGGATGTTACGCACATATTTCTTATGACGAGGTCAGTCGTTCAAGTCGGCTAGAAGGAATATTAAGGTATAGTAGTAATAATGTTGATTTTTGGCTCAACCTCGACGCTGTGTCCGCAAAGGTGTCTGGACCGTGGATTCTTTATAGCTTGCACTACTTATACTCATCAAGAGGCGTTGCATTTGCGTCTGATCGGCCGAATAGGCGCTGCGCTAATACTATTGATCGGCGCCTATTATTTGCTCGATCGATATCGATCGATAATCCTCCTCTCTTTCTAAAACCAGCTGCAGGCAAGTGTGGACAAATTCTTGCCATATCCGTCGATTTAAATAAGATCACAACCTTCTGTATGCACGCCGCTCACAAGACGTCATCGATATGATGTGAGATAGGCCAACGTTCGATATCTCGATGTCCGACGTCCAACGTTCAACGTTAACTCAGGAGGAACAATCCCAGAATATCGATAAGCTGTTGATAATGCATGTTGATACCGAGTATGTAGGTTGAGGAATTTTGCGAAAACGGTGCGTACATGTTTTTTCCAACGCCTTTTGAGTTTTAACGATCAGATACTGTACGTTTAGCTCACTAGATGTATCGCGACGCTTTTCCAGTCGAGTACAATAACATATATCATCCTTGCAAATCCTGGAATACACCCTCACTAGCACTGTAGAAACTCGTTCTATTTGACTTCTACTTTGACACCATGGCCGAATCCGCTCATCGCCTGGTCCTTCGTGAAGCCGCTGTATAGGTCAAGCGACGGCAATGGAGGCTCGGCGTTGTTGGGTCTCGTTGTCCAAAACCAAGGATGGATTAAGGTGAGGCTTCTCCAACCTATACTCTAATTCGATTCTATTTGATCCCTTGAGTGTACATTTACTTCGTGAGTTTCGATCCCAGCACGAGGAAGGCTCAACCCAACCGACCCCACCTTCCGCCGTTTTCGACATCATCCCGCAGGTCTCCGACAAGCCGGCGTTCATCAATCTCGTATTTCCCATACGCCGCCAAGCGCCTTTCATCCTCCTTTACAACAGCATACAGCGTGTGCTTATTCACCTGATAGAATCTAGTCTCCAGTGGCAACCCGGCCTTCTGAAGCTGCAGCATCGTGCCCACACGTGCACTGCTGGAAACAGCATTTTTTGTGAGCTGGACCGCACGCGGGTCGGAGGCATCAAAGTAGCCTGCATCCTGCAGGCTGGCCAGGATGCGGGTGTCGGATTTGGCACGAATCACGGACAGGGGAACCTGGTACCTGCTGGCCTGCTGGATCAGCTCGACGTCGGTCTCTGTGAGTGTAGCGTCGACCATGAGGAGGATGAGATCAAAGACAAATAGGCATTCAGTGAAGAAGTACTCTGCGGAGGGTGGCTTTGAGTTCCGGACCCGGGGATATCGTACCAGATGAGCTTCGCCGTTTGCGGGTCGATGTATTTTTGGTAGACCTGCGGCTGTACAGTCGGCTCCCCATCGCCCTTCTCGGCGGATCCAGCGTGGCCATCAAGGGTACTAGATGTACACGGAAAGCGTTTATGAGGGACGACTTCCCCGCAGAGGTATTTCCAACGACGGCAATATGGAAGAAACCTTTCGTGCATTGATATTTCAACGCTTTGCTTAGTTGAAGCTATTAGAATTCATTACATCAGTACTGTGAAGTATATGTATGCAAGGACAGTCGTGTGTGTGATACATAGTACATACATTTATTTGAGCTCCCAGCTCGGATAGTGTGCTGGACTGAGCTCCCATGGCAGCTGATTTGGGTCAACAGGTAATTCTAGTAGAATAGGACAGGCATTTAGCGGTCTATATACTTACTGTGTGCGTCGATCAGTTCGCGTATGCATACCTGCCCAGTACTACCTTTTGCACCGCGCACCGCGCACCGGAGGTAATTACAACTTCCGTGAGAAATCGAGGATATCACTGGTGAGTCTGCAAAAGCTCTTGATCGATATCTCAATTCGATCCTATGATCTTCGAGGTGGGTCTGCAGCCTGCTCATTAACATCCTTTTCAAGGCAACAACCTCATTGTATATGTTACATGTTCTGTTCAACGTGGCATAACCGTTTGTGAGTCACTACCACAGGGTAATAAGTGGGACCGTAGTCGTACTCGGGAATTGAGTGCCGTGTATGTTTGTTAATTTGGAATTAGGAGCGAGGCGCTAACTAGGTACAGGGTGTATCGGTACGAGTCGTACTTGATGCTGAGTTGATGAGTTTACATGTAGAGAGTATTTAACATCCATGCTTCATGAGTCGCAATTCCAGCATGCAGGCCACCTATCTACCTTTGAACATGACGCGCGCCACAGCAAGTGCCGCTGCAGGTCAGACAAAAAAGGCAGCTGAGGCTCAGAGATTCAAAAATTCCTTCTAGCCGACTTCGACGACTGACCTCGTCCGAATTGCAGGCCGCTCCAGCGACGCGCTCTACCAACTGAGGTAAGGACGGACTCACAACAGAGGAAAAGCATCCGCGTAGCATGGGAAACAAGATCTCCAGAGCAGGAAGAACCAAGTGCGATTATAACTTCTGCAGCATATATAGTGCAAAACCGAGAAATTTTCCAGCCAACTTCTATGCAGGGGCTCAGCTATGAACAGAAATTATGGAACGGGATCCCCAGAGAATTTGCCCTGCAGACTGCAGTAGTCTGCATGAGCATTATGCAGTCAAGGTATCAAAATTGATCTTGTCTTCAATTTTATCAGTTCTTCTTAGCTCAATTGGTAGAGCACGTCACTCAGATAGCGCAAGTTTGGAAAATTGCTATCTTATGATGACTGGTCGGTGGGTCGAACCAACTAGAAGGAATTCCCAATGCTGTTCAAGGTTTACTTTTTGTTTGACCCTTTTTTTGCCATTCCCGAAAACTTCAATAAAAGCTTTATCTTGGTGTTGCTAAGTCTCTCTATCTTTGAAGATTTATGGGCTCGTTTCGTATTATGGGTTCGTTTCGTAGTCCTGTGGGGACCTGACACAGCCACTAGCCAAATCCGGAGTCAGGACAGTCACATGAACAATACATCATTTCGGCCAACGCTCAGCTTCAGCTTCAAAAATACCTCGAGCACCATGATGACGAGCCGCAACAGCAGTGGCCAAGCAGCGGTGAATTTATGATGTGCGGCCAACGGTCCATTACATATGCAATTGCCTAGGTACTATTTCAACTATCAACTTCATGCCAACTCTAGATTATCCATATATAGCTTATCTACAGCTTTTCGACAGATGGAAACTAGCATCAGATGGACCCATGGCTCCGCCCATAGCGGACATAGAGCTTTAGAAGCTCAATGTCCTGGCATTAGCAATTAAATTTTGATTCATTATCTCTTGGTGAGTCACTCTCGTGCCCAAATTACAAATCCCTTGATAGCTCCATGATATCATTCATACTTCCTTAATTAGTGTTTGTCTTCCCTGTCTTTCCACAGTTGCTCTTTTCTTCAGATTTTTCTCATTCCGTTGTGTGGAGCAAATGACTGATCATCAGTACTAGTACATTTAGAGGAAGTGGAAAGTCTTCTGAGTCATCAAAGCCCCAACGATGATATAGAATCGAATTCAAGAGGTCCACTTGGAGTCTTGGACGGTGCAAAAAACGTTCCGACTTAAACTTTGTGCAAGTGTCTATTTGAACTCAACTGTTTTCTCGTTTACTTCGCCCCATCTTGGTTGATTTTCTCGCTCCCTCGCTGGATAATGTCCTCGATCCATTCACCCGCTCCATCCAGACACCAATCCTTGTCTTCGCATTACAAGCAGCGTTATTCTTCGCTGAAAAATGATTCCGATGAAACCAGACTCAAAGACCCTCCTGGGTTGCCCTCAGACCAGATTCCCCCTGCCCCATCGAGACGTGTAGGGTACCTGACGGCGCTACTGAGTTTCGTCAGTGCGGTGATTGTAGCTGTCGCAAACCACATCGTGTTTTCCCAACTCGATGGAAAGCCAACTGGAGATCATATCCGTCAATTTTGGGTCTCGACTCTCAGGACTGTATTCCCTGTTAGCGTAGGGTTTCTACTGGTTGTGGGCCTCAATAAATGCTTATCCCAAGTTGTAAGTAACTTTGACGTTAATGTATTTTTGGCGTTAACATGTTTCGTCCAGGCTTTATATTGTGTCCGTACCGCCTCTTATCCAGTGGCCCTTGTCAACCTTTTGACATCTCCTCCGGACATTTTGACCACGATTTCTATCTTGTTCCGGTCTCCCATGAGGGTCTCCTTCCTAGGGTTCATCATCCTGGCGACCATAATCCAAGTAATGACTTTCACATCATCTTTCATCCCAGGAACACTAACAGTCACTCCGGGCCCTTCGCGTCACACTACCCTTGAGATACCAACCATCGATTTTAATAACGTCTACCCTATGCAATCATCTTTTGTCACCCTTGGAAATGACACGCCACGGACCGTGTTCTTCCTTGAACCGTCCCAACGATGGTCACAGTTAATCTCACGCGCTGCTTCATCCGGAGTCGCACCTATATGGGATCCCCCAGTTGAGTGTGGGTCCTCTTGCACTTACAACTTCACATATTCTGCGCCTGCACTCAACTGTACAGAGCTTTCGCGAGAAGACATCTGGCCCAGCGGGACAAACACCTCGGATAGTCTTCTAGCGTTTCCTCTAAACTCTACCAACCCCCCTCATAATGAATACTTCTTCTACAATGCATCCTTCGCAATTCCGTCGAGTGTTCTCGACGACAATACCACTTCTTCAACCTTGAGTGTGGTATATATGCATGGTTTCAATTCGACGTACAATGGATCATTAAACTTGTTCGGCGAGAACCCAGATCCTTCACAGTATAACCCTAGTGGTGTCCACTGTGAATATCAAAACGGGACGTATGAAGCTACAACCAAATTCATGAACAACACCCAAATATCTACGACGCGCGTAACACAGCTGAATGGCTATTTACCTATCGGACATGAAGATGGACCGTATTTTGGACCGTATATTGGTACGAATACGACCCAGATGACTCTAGCGTTCCGGAGTATAGCTC